GGGGATGTGATGATTGCTCTCATGTTTTGTTTGGCTATGTTTTGGTTTGTTGCAGCGGGCTATTGTTTTTTCACTAAACTGCTCAAGACTGTTGATTATGGTGATTGACTATGCAGGCTTCATGTGACTCAGCCAGGATCTTTCATGGGATAGATATTTTCCTTCGTCATAGCTTTGGTTGAGTGGCTAGGATGTCACGGCTCTGAGAAGCGAGATGCTTATTGGATTCCATGCTTTCATCTGTGGTAGAGATTGGGAGCAAGCGGGGGCAGTTATCATTTTCGATTGGTCTTGTTGCGTGTTTAGTTAGTTACATTTGTTTGTGTGTTTGTAAATTATGTTCTTGAGTCTGTGGTGTGTCTTTGTTTACTTGCCCATATATCCACCCCAAGTTCCCATCTATTATCTCTGACGGTAGGGGTTACTTGGGGACAAAAAGGATATATAGGCAAAGTGGGGTTCTATGTTTTATCTTCTGTTGTTCTTTCGCTTTTGCGAGTATGGTTTTATGTTGTATGATGTCCAGTGATAGTTTTGTGGTGTTTTATGTTTGTCTATTATTTGTTGTAGGGCGTACCTGGGGTATGCCCCTTGTAAACTTGTACATTTTACTGTCTTTATTTTATGACTTACTTACCCAAAAAAAAAAAAAAACAATAATAAGAAAGGGAAGGGGAGTATAATTTTAAAGTAAGGAGAGATGGGGAGTCATATAATGAGAAGCACTAGAGTCAAAAATCCTGATAGACGAAGAGATACTTGAAGAAGACCCAAGCAAACCTGAATGAAAAGAGAAAACAATAGAGGCAGATAGAGATGGTTGTGAGATAGACAATATATGCTGAAGCTGACTAATATGAGCATTCAATGAAGCCAAGTCAGGATCAGAAGCCAGAGCATATGCAACATCAGCAGCGGGAGGAGCTCGGAATTGGTTCTGAGACTGTTGAAAAGATGAGGCAGACAGACATCCCTTCTTAGGACAGTGGTAATTCCAATGGCCCCGTTGATGGCAAAATGCACACTCATCAAAAGCCAGAGACATCGTAATAACCAGAAAGTTAAGGCCTAAGTGTACTAAAGCAAAATAGCCAAACCAGATATCAAAGGCTAATAACTAGAAAACTGAGGGGTTCAAACTATAATAAACCCAAAATAGACCACAATAACCAACCCAAGTATCAGAGTATACTAAACAGGAAACTGAGGGGAATCTAGTGTAATGAACCTGAAAGGGTTTTTAAGTGTAAATACCCAAGAACTAGAATCACAGAACCAACCACGTAACAAATAACCAGCGATATGAGGCTCAGACGAAAGAGATCAGAGAACCTCATGAGCGAGAAAGAATCAAACTAGAGAAAGAGATCGATGGATGGAGACGAGAGACTCTTCGCAATCGCGATCAAACTAAGACTAGAATGTCACAACTTTATACCACCAATTAGAGGACCTTCGCTACTTCAGACCAAATAACCAGAGAGAGAAACCGAGAGATCACAAATAAGAGTTAGCAAGAATGAACCAGAGCCACACAAAGTCCTTGCGAACCGGAAATCGAACCAAATAAGGGGCGAAATATCGATCGTGAATAAACGAACCAGATGAGAGAGAAAGATTTGATCGAATCAAACAAGAGAACCAGTTGAGTTCGAGAGACAGAGGAATTGTTCGAACCAGACAGGTCAACAGATCAACTTTGAACCAGATGGGTTGATGTCGAACCTAGGGCTTTGAACCAAGCTCTGATACCATGTACGTTTTTTGAGAGAATTCGTATATTCCGTTGTGTTTTTTATACAAGAATACATCAGTATATATAACAATCCAAACCATAGAACTAAGAAAGGAAATAAAATTATATGCTCAATCCCTAATATATACAGAATATATATACTACTATATATACACATACCTAATATTCTCACAGGTTAACCTTAATAGGTAAATCAACTGGTTTGTAGCCTAACATGCCTATTTCTTCAAGAAGATCTAGAATGTACTTCATTTGAGAAATAAAGATGCCTTTGTCAGATACGGCAACTTTAAGTCCAAGAATATACCTCAACGGGCCGAGATCTTTGATCTAAAAGTCCTTGGCCAACTGCATCTTCAGATGTGTCATATCATCTTCATTATTCAGTATCACAACTTTTTTTTTGGGTGAATAAACGGACAGTATCACAACTTTATCATCCACATAGACAATAAGCATAGTTACCTTATTTGCATTGCGTTTGACAAACATGGTATGATTTGCATTGCTTTACTTATACCCAAACCTCAACATTGCTTTCACAAATCTGTCAAACCAAGCCCAAAGAGACAGTTTCAAACCATATAACACTTTCTTCAACTTGCAGACTTTCCCAACTGTAGATTGAGAGGAGAATCTTGGTGGCACATCCATATAAACCTCCTCCTCTAAGAAAGGCATTTTGCACATCTAGTTATTGCAAAGGCCACTCTAGGTTAGCTGCACATGAAAGGATTGCTCAAATGAAATTCATCTTTGCTACAGGAGCAAAGGTTTCTTGATAATCCATTTCATTTGGCCCCTAGTCTTGTTTTGCCTTCTGCTTAATGGTGAACACCCACTTACATCCCACTGATTTTTTTCCAATTGGAAGAGAGACTAACTCCCAGGTATTATTCTTGATTAGGGCTTGCATCTCTTCTACCATAGCTCCTTTCCACTTAGGATCATTTACAACTTCCTTCCAACCCCATGGGATACGCACAGAAGATAGAGACAAAACAAAAGCACGATATACACAGGAGACAATGAATCATAGGAAACAAATTTAGAAATAGCGTGTTGAGTACAAGCTTTAACCCCATTTCTAATAGCAATAGGAAGACTTAAATCATCAATAACAGGATTGTCAACTACTGATGAAGAAATAGAATGAGGTAAATTACCTGTAGAATCAGTGATGGTGATTGAATTGGTGGCACAAGGGATGGTTGCTCTTTCTGGCGTCGTGAATAAGTCTTAAAATCAACCTTGTCCAAATGGCCCCCAATGTCCGGCTCAACACCAAAACCATTCGTAGGCTTCCCCTTACCACAAATAACAGCTCGCTGACTAGGAGTGAAAAAAGATAACTCATCCTGATATGACATCATCTCATTCGTAATCTCATCCATATCACTCTCTCCTAGAGGAGATAGCAGAGAAGAAGTAAAAAAGGACTCAAATTCACGGAGGGTGACATCCATAGTGACATACACTTTTCGAGTGTAAGGTTCATAGCATTTGTAATCCTTCTGAGTAGCAGAATAGCCAAGAAAGGCATAATGCACAACTTTAGGATCAAGCTTTCCACGAGTACGAGGTTGCAAATGAACAAAATAGACACACCCAAAAACCTGAGGGGGAAGGGAAGACGTGAGATAAGCCACATGAAGAAGTGCAAGAGGAATTTGGAATTGGAGGACACTGGAAGGCATGCGATTGATGAGACAAGCATTAGTAAGAACAACATCATCACAAAAACACTTAGGAACTTTCATGGTAAACAAAAGGGAGCGAGCAACTTCAAGAAGATGGCCATTCTTGCGTTTAACAACTTCATGCTACTCAGGAGTGCCAACACAACTAGTCTGATAAAGAATGCCATGCTCCTCTAAATATGCCCGAAAAACTCCATCAACATACTCAGTCCCATTATCACTACGAAGAATTTTGATTTGAGCATTAAAAAGATTGGTCACCATTTTATGAAAAGTTTGGAAACAAGAAAAAACTTCACTCTTAGTTCGAAGCAAGTAAATCCAAGTCACACGGGAAAAACAATCAATAAAAGTAACAAACCATCGATACCCAGAAGTAGAAACCACAGGGGAAGGGCCCCACACATCAGTATGAATAAGCATAAAAGGAAAAGTACTTCTTTTATTAATTGAAGGGTAACAAGTACGTTTATGCTTTGCAAGTTCACAAGCATCACAACCAAAAATACTCCTAGGACAATCACGAACTAAAGAAGGAAAAAGTTTCTCTAAAACATTAAAGGAAGGATGACCCAAACGGCGATGCCACTGATGAAGGAGAGAAAGAGAGGAGCCAATAGTGCACTTGAGAGCTTGAGATAGGACGACAGGAAGAACGACATCCAGAAAGTACAGCCCACCTTGTGCTCTACCATTGCCAATCGTTTTCCCCGTAGCCAGGTCCTGAAAGACACAATGAGTAGGAAAAAATGTCACTGAGCAATTTAGAGAAGTAGTAAGACTACTAACAGAAAGCAGATTAGTGGAAAAAGTAGGAACATGAAGCACAGAGGAAAGAGAAAGCAAAGATGAACAATGAACTGAACCCTTGCCAGAGACAGAGGATAAAGTGCCATCAGCCACTCGAACCTTGTCTCGGCCGGAACAAGGAGAATAAGAATAGAAAAGACTAGAGGCACCTGTCATGTGATCGGTGGCACCGGAATCAATAATCCAAGAAGGCGATGATAAGGTACTAAGAGCACTAGCAGGAATACCTGTGTTGGCAAAATTGGAAGAAGCAGAAGTAGAAGAAACTGTGGTAGAAGGAGAGTCAAGTCGAGCCATCAAACGTCTGAGAGTGTGTAACTCATCCTGGGAAAGAGTGCTAGGCTCAGAAGGACTCACAGCAATCTCGGACACATGTGCTTGGGGTCGAGCTGTACTACCACGACCTCGACCCCGAGTAGGGCGACCATTCAGTTTCCAACAATGCTCTCGATCATGTCTGTCTTTCCCACAATAATCACACTTCAAGCGATCTCGATCAACCAGTGTACCCTGACTCCCAGACTGAACTGGACTAGGCCGAGGAGCCCGAGGAGGAGGAGCAACAGCTAAAGCAGAACGATCCTGAATAGAGGAATGTACCATAGCACTACGGCGACTCTCCTCTTGCTGGACAAGGGCATAAGCCTCGCGTAGGGTGGGAAAAGGTGAACGACCCAACACCTGGACGCGAATCTGATCATACTCCAAGTTCAAGCCAGCAAGGAAGTCATACACACGCTCTTTCTCAACGGTTTGTTGAAACAACGTGGCATCCTGAGAACAAACAGCCTGGAAGCTTTGGTAATAGTCTAGTTCCTGCCACAAACTACTCAACTCAGCATAGTAGACTGCGAGTGATCTATCTTTCTGATCTAAGCTCCGAAGCTTCTTCCTCAACTCATACGCCTGTGCATCATTACCTTGTTGGGAGTACATTTGGGCTGCAGCTGTCCAAATCTTATGAGCAGTATCTAATAAAAGGAAACTCCGACTAATAGTGGGCTGCATAGAGTTGATGAGCCAAGTCATAACAAGAGCATTTTCAGAAATCCATTGAGTATGGAGTGAGGCATCACCATCCGGTAGGGGAAGAGAACCAGTAATGTAGCCAGTCAAACGGCGAGCAGCAATAGCAAGACCACATGAGCGGGACCAAATCAAATAGTTGGAACCATCCAATTTAACAGGACTAATTTGAAGAGAGGGATTGTCGGTAAGAGTCATAACACGACGGAGGCCACCCTCATCACTAATTGTATCCTTAGTCTCACCCTCAGCCATTGAAAATTAAATGCCCACAATAGGAAAAAAGCAAATACCAGTCGAAAAACAGCAAAAACCAACAGAGGCAATCCACCAACTCAACTTAGGGACAATAGTTACCTCTAGAGACAAAAACAGAGCCGAAACAGGGGCTGGAGAGACCAAAACCAGTCAGAAACTGAGAGAAAACGTGCTGAAACTGAGGAAAATTGACAAAAATAGAGTGAAAGCTTGCCAAATCATCAAAACCAGTCCTCCCAACCCTAGATCAGTCCCAGTCGGCTCCCAAGGTAGAGGGAGGAAGGGAAAAAACAGCCAAAAACAGGCCGCAGCAGGGGCTTCCAAAAAAATCAATCGTTTTTTCCAAAAATCAACAAAAATTGGAAAAACACTCAAAAACCCATCAAAAAATTAAAAAAAAAA